GACGCTATATCAAATGGAAAGATTATTATTATTATTATTATTATTATTATACTAATCCCCCAAATAAAATAATGGTCATTCACTTCATGGTTGTTTGTTGGACATTGCTGGGTGCAAATTGGCTGGCATGTTTGCCTACAAAATACATGGTCATTACAATATACTTTGCAATAAAATTATGTGAGGTGCTTTGAGATGTCTTCCAAACATGAAAAGCATTATATCAAATGCAAGGATTGCTATTATTATGTGTGAATACCTATTATTTCTTGTGTTGGAATGTGCGTCAGTTGTGCTGCCTATAGGAAATGCAAGAAGCAATGCTCACATTATGAGTGGCCTAGGTAACATGGCAGAAAGAGCAGAACCAACAAGAAAGTACCTGCCTAGAGAGTTAGATGATCCAAATTAGGTCCTCCTACATGCCATAATAAATCACCAGCAAACAGATACAGTTCTGCAGACTCTTATTTGCAGATAGCTAACCACAGCTCCACTAGTGGCTCCAGCCAACCTCCAGCTCTAAATTATCAGAACTCCAAACTCAAAATCGTCTTTAACCTGGACACTCAGCATTAAATATGCCTCTCAGTAACAAGTTCTCACTGTACATCCCCAAGATGGCACTGTGCTTCAGAGAATAACATAGAGAGACTTGCTGATAGCCTAGCTTACCCAGCTTAACTAGACCTTCCTGCAGAGGGAGCTGCAAGAGTATTATTTCATAATTTCACACACCCAAAATATAACTCAAAATAATTTAGGACTTATTAGAAATGCAGTCAATAGATTTGTAGTTTTTAAATTCTTGACACACAATATTTGAAATAGGATTTTTAAAAATACAATCTAAATTGGAAAAAAACACAAATAGCAACACATAAAATTGATTTTGGTTTGGGATGCTATAATATTTAGAATTGTTCACTTGAAGCTGGATTGCTGTGTTTTTTTAAGATTTCCTTATCAGCAGTATTGTATAACACATATTCAAGAACTTAACTTAAATGTTACTTGAAGGTGAATGGTGGTTACTTAAAGGTGAATGTCTTAGAATGAGGTACTAATCGCCCTTTATGGCAATATCCACTTCTATTTTTCTTGCCAATAACCAACAACAGAGACTTGACATTTGGCTGATAGTCCTTTTGTCAGTGTTCTCTCTCAGAAGGAAGGTCTCCCATTTTAGCTGGATTCATCACCCTACCTGTGATTCATCTCCCAATTCCTAATGCAGGATTCGACTCTGGGAGATTAGTACATGGAGGATGCTGAAGTGTGTAAGATTACCAACATTCCATGGTTAATAATAATAATCCTTGTATTTAGTACAGTGCCTTATCACATCTTCACGATGTCTCAAAGCGCTTTACAGAATATATTGTAGAGTGGATTGACTGTATATTTTGTGGGCGCAACACAGCAGCCAATTATGCTAAGCTGTGACCCACAAACAGTCGTGAATTGACTGACTAAATTATTATTATTTTTTGAGGGAATTATCACCCCCAGACTAGCGGTCCCCAATCGACTAATATCTGGGTTCCTACTTATTGCTAGGTAAACAGGCGTGTGGAGTAAGGAAACTTACTTAAGGTTTCGCCCTGCCCAGGAATCAAACCAAGGTCCTCTCGCTTGCGAGGCGAGTGCTCTACCCAGTGAGCTACAGGACTCCACATTGTTTTTATATAGTATTAGCAGTACCCATTGCAGCTTTGCTTGCAACCAAAGGATCCAATATGGAATGTAGATTGACACACAGACAGACATTTCATCTTTATCTATACTCATCTGGGAGGACTCCTGTGGGAGGACTCCTTTTGGGAGGACACAGTTGGAGGACTCGATGCTTTAAAAATGTAATTTTGTTGTTGTTGCCTTTGTCTGCGTTCTTTATTTTGTTCCCGCCGCTTGGCTACGTGCCTGCTCTGTGATGTAGGATGTCACAGCACCACAGTCAGCTGGTGTGGCTGCAGGTGTAACTGCTGTGTGTGGATACAGCATGCAGCCACCAGGTGTAACTGAATAATAATAATATTTATTGAACTGAAGCGAAAACCCCAAACTAAAAACAACTCATGAACCATAGAAGATGCCCGAAAAGTAATATGGCCATGCTTTGAACTGTCAATGTTAAGATTCCTGCTCTTAACGCAGTCTCCTAAGCCAGTTTAGAAATGTCTTCATACTGCACACAGTCCATTTTGCACCCTTGTAGAGGGACGGAGTCTATAATGATTGTAGCTCAATATTTTTTTTCATCTATAGAGTCCAGAATGGCTTCATGTCCTCAATAACCACCATTCACCATCAAAACTTTCTTACCTGGCATTTATAATAATAATCCTTGCATTTGATATAGCCCCTTACCACATTGTTGAGACGTCTTAAAGCGCTTCACAGCGCTGTATATACTGTAAAGTGATCTGACTGTATATTTTGTGGGCAAAATGTAGAGTATCCTCCACAGAATTGCATTCCTGTTCAATCTTGTCCTTAGGCTCCTTGGGGTGAGAATGCGGGTGGGAACCGGCCTTCCTACAATAGGATGTATATTTTACTTGTGGCTAACTTTTGTTTAATGAGATTATTCTGTAATTTCTATGGTATGCGAAATGCTCAGCTAAGACATTTATATTAGTTACTATTTATTTATGAAGTGCTGTAGCTCATACTAAAGTTATGTTCAGGCTAGTTCTGAGTTACAAATTTTATACTGTTGCTTTTGGTCAACACAGCACTGTATATTTGAAGTAGGAATTTGGTTTTATGAATAGATCTTACTAGGGAGCATAGACACACAAGGAATATTCTATTTGCAGTCAGGAATTTAGATCAAAGTGGGTCTAGATTGATGTCCAAGTCTGATAGCTCCTCGTGGCTCTTTTAGCTTACAATCCTGCTCTCACAGAGTTTTGCCTTTAGAACATAACATAAGAACATAAGAAATGATAGACAAAGAAAAGGTCCATCTAGTTCGCTTTCCACTTTCCGGCAGTCAAATGCACGTATGTCCCAAACTACTCATGTACTATATCCCATAATGTTATTTCCTGAACCCAAACTATCTACAACAAGATTACATTTGTATAGCACCTTTCACGTCGGGCAGACATTCCAAGGCGCTGTAGCATTTCAGACCCGAGCTGGGGTCAGGGAGGGAGAAGGAAGGGGAGGGGATGACCGATAGCATGGTCGAAGAGGAGGGTTTTGAGGAGGGACTTGAAGGAGGCTAAGGAGGGGGCGAGGCAGAGCTATTGGGGGATGGAATTCCAGAGGTTGGGGGCAGAGTGACTGAAGGCTCACCCGCGAATGGTGGGGCAGGTGGGTTGGGGGACGTGGAGCAGGCCAGAGCCGGCTGAGCGTAACTTGTGTTTGAAGGAATCAACACTTCCTGCTTCAACCATCTCCCTAGGGAGCCTGTTCCACAGGATACTCTTTGCCTTTGGTAACAGCGCTGAAAAATAAACAAGGTGGCCTACCAAAAGAGTGGCTTTGTTTTGCCTTTAGCATTGAGCAGCACTGTGCTGTTCTCAGGGGTTGGTGTTTCCTGTGTTTCTGGCATGGAGAGGGGAGGGGGGATGGGACGAGCAGCTTGAGTCACTTCTTTGGATTCTGCTTTGCAAAGAATGCTGGACAGATTCCAAGCACTGGAAGGCTCCCACTACTCGCCAACTAATCTGAAAAGGGTCTCAAATATCCAGCAAGCTAAATGTGGCATTAGTGTCAAAGCCACAAGACGACAGTGATCAGCTTACAACTTCTATTGTGTACATTGATTTGGACTAGTTTAACCAAAAGATTTTATGGGGGTTAGCCAGGTGTCTTGACATATGTGAATACTCATCACCATGCTTAAGAGTATCCAAACCAGACAGAGTATCACATATGTATGTGACTTACACACAAAAATTTCTGTGTTCTGGAATGGAATGTACACTCTGTCCCTCGAGGGACTAATCTCCCTACTTAATTCCGGAGAGTATCATTCTCAGTTTGGCAATAACCAAGGATTGGGGAACCCAGTGTGTTGATGGGGTACTGTTGGCTTAATCAGGAAAACAGTATAGTTTGCCATTGCGAGTGCTATGTGGCAATGGCAAGCTTCTTGCTGCTTGTCAAGGTTGAGCCACCACCTCATTTGTTGGGGCTTTGGCTTGGTTTGCTGAGTGGAAAGGAGCTGAGTGGAAAGAGTCCAGTGACCTCCAAGTCCTGCTGATGAGACAGCCTGAGACAATTATAGGCACTAAAGACCACACAGCACTACTATGTGAGTATGATTTAAGACGGCACTTCTGCCAATGTGGCATTTCCCAGCATATAAATTAAAGGTATTCATTGGGTTTATTTATTGGTTTGGAACATTGAGAAACACTATTTGCAGTTCAGTTTGTTCTGCACCCAAGTGAACAGTATGTCATTAACCGTAAACAAGAGCTAAAGGTTACCTTAAGCACACTGCCCTTTCATCTTTTGGACTGAGGTTTGCATCCTGACTCACCTATCAATTAGTTTTTGAATTTCCTAAAGATCCTGATTGAAACAAGATTTGAACACTCAATCCACAGCTTGGGAGAGTCATCAGCAGAAAATAGATGGAATTGAACAGAAATTGACTCTCATTCAAGGCAGTCAATCAGATGTTTGAAACTACAGTACAGCTCTCTCTTTGAGTAGTGTGACCTTTAAGAAAACACTTCTGGCAAAACAACATTTGCCAGCATTGCACAGCAGTATCAGTCTAGACGTGTAACCAACCTTCTGACTCAGAGGCAAGTGCTATCCACCTGAGCCAGGCCAAGATTGGTTAAGAGTAAGTTTAAAAAAAAGATTTTTAAAAAACACATGTTAAAATGCTACAAAGGCATGCTTTTGGTTATTAACTGTCAGAACTCAAAAGCTAACACAGAACAAATTGAGGCAGATAATTGGTTTGTTGCAACTCTATGTAAACTGTACAACTAGAAAAACAAAGCATTAAAGGACACCATGGAAATGTAGTCATTAAATACGCCATAAATATATTTGTCAACAAAAGATGCATTGATCTCAATGTAGCAAAGATAGTCAGCAGCCAAGTGCTGAATATAACAGAATACAATATAGTACATTGGTCATCAAACAAAGTACAACAATCCATCTGTTCACTGTAAGTCTCACTCTGAAACATTAGATGTAACAAGAGCTGTGATGCAATACATAGCTTATAATTTCTTCATTGAAAGAGAAATCATATGATGCAGACTAAATATATTCTAGATCGCTCTCAAAAGATGCCAATATAGTGCATGTACACAGATACCCCACAAAATGTCCAATATTAATGTACACGATAGAAGTTTTATCGTTAAAACCCAACATTTTAAGAATGGTAATATTTTACAATCAAGTCCCATAGACAATGTAGGCTAGAGAAGAGTTGATCTTAAGCCAGTTGTGTTTTCGTGCAATCAACTTTCTATATTATACGTTGCAAATTCCAAGTACTTCATTTTCATATTTTTCTTTAGGAAGTCTAGCACTGTCCTTTTTCCAAGATGTGCATTTCAGTCACAATGCCCAGCCATTTTAACAGCTGTTACACTTAAGTGAAGGCATTTTTTTTTACTCAATGAATAGCAACATTCAGTATCACCAAAAAGAGAATTTCATTATATACAATTCCTTATATTTCTGTGAACAGAAATATTTCAGTGTACATTCATATAAAGAAAACTTCCTTGAAAATGCTGCTCCTTGATCAGATGCAGCATATTTTACGAAGAAACAAGTCCATATGAGCAACCATTCCACAGCAAAATAAATAGCTTTCTTTATTTTTTAACTGGTAGGGATCATATGTAATACTATATATATTATAACCAGTTAATTTAGTATGTGGTGTCCTGACAAATGAAACGTAAAATATTGTACTTGTAAATTTCAGAGCTTACGTTTATGCAAGTCAAAGCTTTACAAAAAATGCTTTTACAGAGCTGCAAGGAAACTCTTCCATGGACAAAAAAAATCAAGAAAAAACAATATTACTTCCATTATTGAAGAGTCCAACAGTTACCAATAAAGATTAAAAGGCAAGTTATTTTAGTGGTTGCTCTTCAGGATAATAACAATAATCCTCACATTTAGTATAGTGCCTTTCACATTGGGAGTGACTGTGCATTTGTGGGTGAACAGAGGATGCCAGTTCCTATCTTACTTAGCATGACTCAGTGACTGGGCTGCAGTGAAACACCAGTGAAAGACTCACAAATATGGTTGCAAATTATCAATGATCTGGAATGAAAACCCTCAAGTAATACATACACCATTTCCTCATCAAATCACATTTGCCATTTAAATATGGAGCTCTTAAGACTGATAATGGAGCCACTACACCACACACAAATCTGAAAATTTCCCTCCAAAACAAAAACATAATATTCAAAAGTATTCTTGTTCCTTTATGATAAAAAAGTTTTTTAAAAAAAACACAAAATGCATTTCCCACTCTCTTAACAGGTGTGGAAGACAAGTCTTGGAGACGCAGCACTTTTTGCAATTATGAGATTACTAGTTCCACTGTTAAAACGCTAATTGTAGTTCTTAACCTGAAGTTGTGCAATCAATCCAAATACAACTTAAAAATGCTTTTTTTTACAAAAGAGCTGACCTTTAACCATCATTCCTGTGTAACAGTGCATACAAACTGTAACAACTGATTGTAAGCAGACAAATACTGGACGTTCTTTCGTTGCAAACACACAAGTTAAAACTGCGTACATATCAAGATAAAGATGTGCACCAGACATGCTGCTAATTGCTGGGTTGCACCATTAACCCTTGAACCAATTCACTGTCTCAATGTTCACAGCAAGATTGAAAGATTTGAAAAGAACACATGCATAAGGCAAACACTGTCTAAACTGAACATAATCCATAGGACCAACAAAAACAGTCTGAGTTTACAGCTCATCTTTTATGGTTCACAAATTTAAAACTGCCATGCCCATCGTTTTACCATCCTTATAAACACAGAAACCCACTTTAAATATACAATCAACATGCCGAGTTTTGGTTTTAAAGGGATAATAGTTTAGGATAAACATAAAGGTTTGCTGTTGTTTGAGTTCCAGCAATCGCTAAATTGAACTCAAATTGTGGAGGATTAGTGGTCTAAATGCAGGGACTTGATAAAACAACAATAACCTGGTACTGTATATACCATTACTAGGGCCACCTCCGCCACTTAACTTTCCAGTCCAATTATCTGTACTGTAATATGGATGCCCAAACAATTAATACACAAAATAATGTAACAATACTTCATATGAGATGAATCTTGCAATTGATACAAAAGCAGGATATATATTTACAAAAAATGTCTCAGTTTCAGTTCTCTTGTGCCTAGTTACCATCAGTTAAACTAGCCTGGATCTCAAGTTTACAAGGCAAAAAGTTATGAAGAAGGCTTATTCCAGAGGATTTTGCTTACAATTAACTTTCCTACTTATTAACTTACAGCAACCATCAAAGTTTCCAACATTGGGACTCCAAAATATCAAAAATACCAAACTAACATTTGCTTATTACAAGAATAAATATAAACACCAGTTTCAACTGCACTCCAGTCCCATAACATTGCATATCATACTTTGTCCACTATTTCATCCAGATACTGGGAGATTCAGTTTTCTGGACTAGTTTTGTAATGTGCATTTATAACATGAGAATTGAATTGCACCACTGTAATGGTTATATCATCTCTGTACATCCGGGCCAGTTCTTCAGGAAGACTCAGCATTTTGGACAGTCGCTTATGATCAATTGCCCCAAACTCATTGTGACCAACTGCATATCGTAAAAGATATGTTGCAGAATTCTGATCCTCAAATGAAGGTGACGCATTAGCTCTTCTCTCCATTAATAGGCTGTGCATTTGACCAAGAGTCACTTTGTAACCACCAACAGAAATAGGTTGCTGAAGCTGGACACCAGTCAGATGCTCCCCAACAATCCTGATTACTTCCTGTCTGTGTAATACGTCCCACAGACCATCTGTGGCTAATACAAGAAATTTGTCCTGAGGTCGTAGTTTATGATAAGTAATTTCAGGTTGAGCAGTTAGGTAGGGGGGTGTGTGATAATTAGGTGGGATAAACTTGTTATATTCACTCTCGTTTAACATCTCTGGCCCAGATTCTAATACTCTCTTCTGCAGATCAATGCTCCACTTGAACTTAACATCTCCAAACGCTCTAAATGGCATTAACAAGCCAAGCAATCGGTCTTGTTTAATGACAGTTTTTGCTTCAGATTTGGGGTGTTCAGATCGAACTCTTTTAGTTTCACACTCATTCTGTGCATTGTGGTCATTAGACAGTGTAAGTGCAGACCAGCTCCCATCCTCTTCTTGGACACCGAGTACGGCTCTGCTATCTCCAACATTTGCAATGTGCAAATCTACACCATCCACGTGTGCAATGCAGGCAGTCGCACCAGAAAATGCCACTCGCAACACCCAGTGGTTGAGAAAGCTGTTGCTGTTTCCCACTTGAGCTTCCAATGATATATCATTATCAAGTCTTTTGAAAGAATTTAGCAAAGCCTCCTTTTCATCAGGTATCTCCGTGGTATGGAGGTCAATTAGTTCCTGCCAGTAGGTACGCAGGCTATCAAAGTACAGCTTGGAAGCCTCTTTACTGAAGTAGTCATTGGGGTGTTTGTGCCATTGAAGAATTGGCAATACGACTCGCCCAGTTTCTACTGCATTCTCGATTTCTATTAAGGTTTCTTGAGGCAGTAAAGCAACAGCAATGTAGTAAAACAATCGTTCACTGAGGCTTTGTGCACAAGCACATCCTGCATGTCCATCAAAGACACCCAAAAGCATTCCCCTGGTCTGCAGGCAAGTAGCTGCACTTCTTCGGTCTTCCACCGGTGAATTGGATGGCAACTGGTTCGTGTCAAATCCAAGAACAGAACTGACATTCTTCCCATCAAATTCAGAGACTTTAAAAGTATACTCATTGGCCTTCAAGATGCTGTTAACTTGATGAGGAGTAAGTTTGTAAAAGTGTGCAAATGTGGTCCTGTAGCTCCTTGTTTGGGAACAACAGAAAGCATTCTTGAGTTTTCTGTACCTTAATGAGAGGGGTGGTGCAGTCTTCTGCTGAGATCTGTCTGCTGCATGTTGACCAACCTGTACTGATTGGCAACTCCAGAGAGTTTGATGGTAGCTGGCGGTAGCATGTATCCACCTTCGACTTATTTCTACATTCCTAAGTGCTGGAAGCAACAACTGTGTAGACACTAACATTTCACTAGTAGAAGTGGGGACAACTCTGCCAATCGTTCCTATAAAGAAAAAACAAAACAAATGTGTTACCAATTTGTTATTATGAACCACAAACTATTACAGAAAAGGAAGATGCACGATTTATAAGCTGCAAAAAAGAACATATTAATAGCACAATATACCACATTTACTCAAACCTAAAACATACCTCCAGGAGTGTGCTTTAGAATCAACTGTGAATTATAACAACAGAAAAGCCCATATTTTTCTCCAAAAACCAATAAAATCCACCTGGGTCATAGATTCCAGTAAATAAAGTGTATTAAAAACTCTGATCTTCAAGAAAACAAAATGCACATTTTCAGAAGACAATTATAAAAATTAAATAATACTGAAATAATAAGTAGGACAATACAAAATTACTGCACACAAGGAAGCATTTGTACCTGCGTTGGTTCTCTGAACGAGCTATTCACTTTGTCCCACTCTCCTCTTTTCTTCATACACTTTTATATTTCTTCTCCTTTTTAAATATATATCTAATTCCCTCTTCAAAGTTAAGATAGATTCTGCCTCAACCACCATTCTGGGCAGCACTAAAATCCATATGAAGAAAAAAAACTAATTTCTCCCTTTGTACTCTCTTTGGTAATTACCTTAAATCTATGCTCTCTGGTTACCACCTCACATAGATTTACATACACTGTACAGCACACAAACAGGCCATTCGGCACTACCAGTCCATCCCAGTGTTAAAACTCCAGCCACTCCTTACTCACTCCCATATCCTTCCATTCCCTTCTCCCTTTTGCGTGTATGTATAGCATCCTCTTATATGGATCTATATTATCTGCTTCAACTAACACTTCTGGCAATAAGTTGTGGGAGGAAGCTCCTCTCCTCCCAAATTCTCTTTTAGATTCCCTGGTCGTTATTTTGTGTCTCTTAGTTACCGACTCCCCAACAAACCCTTTTATAATTTTAATCACCTCTATTAGGTACCTTTTCTAGCAAAAACAAGTTACTTATCCAGTCCAAATTGGTACCAGTAACCTGCCAGCCCTCTTTCCATCAATGCCAAATCCTTCTTGTGTGGCAACAAACTGGCTTCAGTACTCAAGACATGCTCTAACCAAGGTTTCATAGAATTTCAACATCACTTCCTCAATTTTATACTCCATTTGTCTATGACACTACACTGCATAAAGAGCACTATATAAATGCAAGTTATTGTTGTATTTCAAGCCCAAGATTTTCAAGCCTTATCTATCTGTTTGGCTACTTTTAGAGATTTGTGGATCTGAATCCCCAGATCTCTTTGCTCCTCTAAGGTCACTGGCATAAGTTATAGACAACTTCTTTATTGTTCCACAGGTCACTGGAAATAATTTCTTGCAGTGCACAGTATTAAATCTTCAAATATTCAGTTCTCCGATTTATTCAATGCTGCTTTCTAGACACACAAATGGAAGATTTACTTTAAAATAAGATGACGCGGTGTGGTTTAGGGAAGCAAAATTGTCAAGTGGAGTCCTGCAGCTCAGTGGTTAGAGTACTCGCTTTGCAAGCGAGAGACCTGAGTTCATTTCCAGGCAGGGCGAAACCTTGGGCAAGTTTCCTTACTTCACACGCCTAATAATAATCCCTCCAAAAAAACAAAACAATAATAAAATTGGTCATTTTCAATCTACGACTGTTTGTGGGACATTGCTGCAATTGGCTGCTGCGTTCGCCCACAAATACACAGTCAATTCACTTTACAGTGTGTTCTGTGAAGCGCTTTGGGACGTCCTCCCGACGTGAAAAGCGCTATATCAAATGCAAGGATTATTATTATTATTATTATTAAGTGCATTTTTATTACTGGAGTCAGTATTGCACTGTATTTCAAGAAATGCTTAGTACACTTTGGGTGTCTACAGGTTTGTTTTAATAATTTATGCTTATTTTGATGAAAATTGGGTTAATTTTAAGGTATTGGGAGAGATTGAGAAAAAACTTTGTGTGAAGAAAATTTCTCCTCATCTCCTGTTTCTTTTAACAACTATTTTAAATCGGTATCCTCGGGTTACCAATCCACCCGCCAATGGAAATAGTTTCTCCTTGTTCACCCTATTAAATCCCCTCATAATTTTGAAAATTTGTATTAAGTCTCCTCTTAACCTTCTCTGCTCCAAGGAGAATAACCCTCGCTTCTCTCGCCTCTCCTGATAACTGAAGTCCCTCATTCCTGGTACCAACCTGGTAAATCTCCTTCGCACCCTCTCCAATGCCTCAACATCTTTCCTAAAGTGTGGTGCCCAGAACTGAACACAGTCTCCAGCTGAGACCTAACCAATGTTTTATGAAGGTTCATCGTAACTTCCTGACTTTTGTATTCTATGCCCCTACTTATAAAGTCTAGTATCCCGTATGTTTTTCTAACAGCTGTATCTACCTGTCCTGCCACCTTCAAATATTTACTTCTATGAACCCCCAGGTCCCTCTGGTCCTCTGTCCTCTTTAAGATTGTACCATCAGCTTATATGGCCTCTCATCATTCTTCCTCCCAAAATGCATCACTTTGCATTCATCCACATTAAACTTCATCTGCCACACGTCGGCCCATTTTACGAGTCTGTCTATGTCCCCTTGCAGTCTGCTATTATCCTCCTCACTGTTTACTACTTCTCCTAACTTAGCAGCATCTGCAAACTTGGAAATTGTACTCCCTATATCCAGGTCATTTATATTTATAAAAATATAATAATCTTTGCATTTAATATAGCGCTTTTCATGTCTTCTCGACGTCTCAAAGCGCTTCACAGAATATGCTGTTAAGTGAATTGACCGTATATTTGTGGGCGAAATGCAGCAGCCAATTGCCTACAGCAGTGTCCCACAAACAGTCGTGGATTGAGTGTCTCGCTTGCAAGTCGAGTGCTCTAACCCCTGAGCTACAGGACTGTATATACTTTTTTTCCTGGTTGGTGCTGTCCTTCCCATAAGGTGTCAACAATTCTTTACTTGAAAGCTCGCTTTGACCTTGAACAGTAAAGTATATCCTGTCTGATTCTACCAGGAGTGCCAGTTCTCTGCTAACAGTGATCCCCTGAAAACTACCTTCCCAGTGAATTATGTTAAAGGTCTGGCTAATAAACAGCAACATTTGATACACAAAAGCTATTCTGTAGGTTGAAATAGCATAAACCCCATAAAGCTCCAGATTGTTTGCTGGAATAGAGAACCAATGTGGCACTACAGTGGTTGGCACACAGTAAGCAGAGCTGTCAACACTGCCATACAACTCAGATAAGAGTAGCTATAAAGATGTAAACAAACACACGCCAACCACTGCTCTGATACTCACTACGAGGTACAGGATCTGCAAAACCAGAATTTACAAAACCAGATTGACTCGTCTGGAATACATAGCAAAAATATCCGACTGTCTGCTTCCAACTCAGTCCACCAGCCCTGTGTCCACCAGCCCTGTGTCCACCAGCCCTGTGTCCACCAGCCCTGTGTCCACCAGCCCTGTGTCCACCAGCCCTGTGTCCACCAGCCCTCTGTCCACCAGCCCTCTGTCCACCAGCCCTCTGTCCACCAGCCCTCTGTCCACCAGCCCTGTGTCCACCAGCCCTCTGTCCACCAGCCCTCTGTCCACCAGCCCTCTGTCCACCAGCCCTCTGTCCACCAGCCCTGTGTCCGGCTGTCAAGCCCACAATATGTTGAAAGCACCACTGCCATAATGGTCAGGTTTGGCCTTTAACGCCGTGGGTTCATCTGTATTTATAGACGTTCATTTCTCCTGCGAGTTCACCTTATGGGGAGTGTGGGGGGGGGGGGGGCAGGGAGGGGGGAGGGGGGGCAGGAGAGGGGGGGCAGGAGAGGGGGGGGGGGGGCAGGAGAGGGGGGAGGGGGGGGGAGGGGGGGGGCAGGAGAGGGGGGGCAGGAGAGGGGGGGCAGGAGAGGGGGGGCAGGAGAGGGGGGGCAGGAGAGGGGGGGGGGGCAGGAGAGGGGGGGGGGGCAGGAGAGGGGGGGGGGCAGGAGAGGGGGGGGGGGGCAGGAGAGGGGGGGGGCAGGAGAGGGGGGGGGGGCAGGAGAGGGGGGGGCAGGAGAGGGGGCAGGAGAGGGGGGGGGGCAGGAGAGGGGGGGGGCAGGAGAGGGGGGGGGGGGCAGGAGAGGGGGTTAAGGTAGTATATAAACACGCAGCGTGACTTACGTTACAAAAACACAAGCGATGTGTCCGTCCCCCGATATAAAACTGTCTGTGAAGGCCGTTGCATTACTGTGTTTCCAAACAATCATCGACCGGTTTCCCCCCCACCCTCAGCCCCCACCCCGCTCCGCACTGCAGCTACACCACACACATGCCGCCCTGCCCTGTCCTGCTCTGGCCACGCCGGGCACAGCCTACAACAGGCACAGCCCTACAGCACAGGCACAGCCCTACAGCACAGGCACAGCCCTGGAGCAGCAGCAGCACAGTTGTGGTCGACAGCGCCCTCGCACGCAGCTCGGCTCCGGCTCGGCTCCGGCTCAGCTTCCAGGCTCGGCTGCTGCACTGGGCAGTGTCCTCCCTCACACGCTGGACTCGGGGCTGAGCAGCTCCTCCCCTGGGCGGGGAGAGGGCTCAGGGCTTAATTCCTTGGTCCTCTCCTCTCCTGGCTGAGATCCCCTCTTGCCCTCTAATGGCTGAGATCCCCTCTTGCCCTCTAATGGCTGAGATCCCCTCTTGCCCTCTAATGGCTGAGATCCCCTCTTGCCCTCCAATGGCTGAGATCCCCTCTTGCCCTCTAATGGCTGAGATCCCCTCTTGCCCTCTAATGGCTGAGATCCCCTCTTGCCTCCAATGGCTGAGATCCCCTCTTGCCTCCAATGGCTGAGATCCCCTCTTGCCCTCTAATGGCTGAGATCCCCTCTTGCCCTCTAATGGCTGAGATCCCCCCTTGCCCTCTAATGGCTGAGATCCCCTCTTGCCCTCTAATGGCTGAGATCCCCTCTTGCCCTCCAATGGCTGAGATCCCCTCTTGCCCTCTAATGGCTGAGATCCCCTCTTGCCCTCTAATGGCTGAGATCCCCTCTTGCCCTCTAATGGCTGAGATCCCCTCTTGCCCTCTAATGGCTGAGATCCCCTCTTGCCCTCTAATGGCTGAGATCCCCTCTTGCCCTCTCCTGGCTGAGATCCCCTCTTGCCCTCTAATGGCTGAGATCCCCTCTTGCCCTCCAATGGCTGAGATCCCCTCTTGCCCTCCAATGGCTGAGTTCCCCTCTTGCCCTCTAATGGCTGAGTTCCCCTCTTGCCCTCCAATGGCTGAGATCCCCTCTTGCCCTCCAATGGCTGAGTTCCCCTCTTGCCCTCCAATGGCTGAGATCCCCTCTTGCCCTCTAATGGCTGAGTTCCCCTCTTGCCCTCTAATGGCTGAGATCCCCTCTTGCCCTCTAATGGCTGAGTTCCCCTCTTGCCCTCTAATGGCTGAGTTCCCCTCTTGCCCTCTAATGGCTGAGTTCAGGATGAGGACTCGGCGTTGGCGCCACTTGTCAGCCCGAGGCCACGAACGCACCGAGCGCCGCCGCTGATTGGCCGCCGGGATCGACACACGCATTGTGGCGTCACAGCCGATACGTCAGTCCCGATCTTTTTGTAACAGTTTCAAAAGCGCCGAGTTGATTGGCTGCTCGGCTCCCCGCAGCCAGCGCGGTATTGGGCTACTTTTGGGCTAGTGTTTGGGAAGCACTGGCGCTGGAGTCGATGAGAGGCAGCCGCCCACATCAATCATCTAACATCATTTACATACCTCACATTATAACATGGGCATTGAATTGCTCCACTGTAACGGTTATGTCATCTCTGTACGTACGGGCCACTACTTCCGAGGCAGACTCAGCATTTTGGACAGTCGCTTGTGAGCCATTGCCCCAAACACATTTGCATAACTCACATCATTTGTTTCAGGCAGCCGGGTGTCTGGTTTCCATATTATAGATATCATGTATTGAAACCTGCCCAGTAAAATGCAACGCTATATTACACTTGTAAAGCGCCTTTCACGTCAGGACATCCCAAGGTGCTGGATAGTCAGGGATTTATAATAATAATAATCCTTGCATTTGATATAGCGCTTTTCACGTCGGGAGTACGTCCCAAAGCGCTTCACAGAACACACTGTAAAGTGAATTGACTGTATATTTGTGGGCGAACGCAGCAGCCAATTGCGCACAGCAATGTCCCACAAACAGTCAAGGATTGAAAATGACCAATTTATTATTGTTTTTGGTTTTGGAGGGATTATTATTAGGTGTGTGGAGTAAGGAAACTTGCCCAAGGTTTCGCGCTGCCTGGAATTGAACTCAGGTCTCTCACTTGTAAAGCGAGTGGTCTAACCACTGAGCTACAGGACTCCTCCATTTGGACCTGGGTTGGGGGGGGGGGGGGGGGGTTGGGGGTGGAGGGAGGATGGTAGGGAGGATAGAGGTAGGAGGGTGGCCGAAGATACGGCCAAAGAAAAGGGTCTTGAGACATGCCTTGAAGGAGACAAGGAAGGGAGCAAGGAGAGGGGACTGGGATGGAATTTCAAAGGGTGGCGGCAGAGAGGCTGAAGGCCTCAGATGGATTGACAGCTGGATTTAGGTATGGGGACCCAAGGCTTTGGAAATTATTCATTTTTTTTAAAAAAGATCTTAAGGTATTCAAGATCAATTGGGCTTAATTGGTAGCACACTTGGGTTGAAAGTTTGGGTCAGCCATACATTTGGCCTTTGAACTCATATACATCAGTGCGATTGCTGGGGAAGTGCTTCATTGTTGGACAGCCTTCAGATGAAATGTTAAACCAAGTTTCTGGCTGCATGTTTAGATGGACATTGAAAATCCCATGGCAATTTTTGAAAAGAGAAAGGAATGTCCTCCAATGTCCTGACAAACCATCCTCCAGCTGAATTTATTCACTTCATGAGTTTGTGGGACATCACTATATCCAATTTGGCTGCCGGGTTGCCTGCAAATATACTGTGAAGTTATCTGAAATATTTTGATATAAATGGTGTTGTATCAATTGCAGGGACTATAATAATGTACTCTGAACAATAATAATATAATAATAATCCTTGCATTTGATATAGTGTTTTTCACGTCTTCGACGTCTCAAAGCACTTCACAGAATAGACTGTAAAGTGAATTGACCGTATATTTATGGACGAATCGCGGCAGCCAATTGCACACAGCAGTGACCCACAAACAGTCGTTAATTGAAAATGACCAATTTATTATTGTTTTGTTTTGGAGGGATTATTATTAGGCGTGTGGAGTAAGGAAACTTGCCCAAGGTTTCGCCCTGCCTGGAATTGAACCCAGGTGTCTCGCTTGCAAGGCGAGTGCACTAATCACTGAGCTACAGGACTCCAATACAGAATTATTGATAAATGAAATCCCCAAACAGAAACATGTTACCATAGTGAAAAATCTATAACAAGGGAATAGACATTCAGAAGGAAGATTAAAAGACAGCAAGATAATTAGGTAGCTATTCTGTTAACAATTCAATTAAGATGTATGACACATTGATCTCCATGTAACTATTTATATCAGAGGAATACCAGACCACCTTGTAACTGCAATATCAACCTCTGAGCAATTGCAGTGATAGACTTTTTCATAACTGCAGTAACATAACTACCACGTAACTATAATAGCAGTTACATAACAGGAGTCCTGTAGCTTAGTGATTAGAGCACTCGACTCACAAGCAAGAAGTCTCACCTGGGTTTGATTCCCAAGCAGGAAAAAACGTTGGAGCAAGTTTCCTTACTCCACACACTTCTGTTTACCTAGCAGTAAGTAGGAACTTGGTTGTTGGACAATTGGTGGATCGCTTTTCTGGGGGGTAATAAGCCCTTCAAAAAAAATAATTTGGTCACTCAACCCACAACTGTTTGTGGGACACGACTGTATGCAATTGGCTGCCACATTTCACCCACAAAATATACAGTCAATTCACTGTACAGTATATTCTGTGAAGTGCTTTGAGACGTCTCAGACATAAGGTGCTATATCAAATGCAAGGATTATTATTATAACCAGTGATTAGACAACTGCATGATGACATCATAAATCCGTGTGCCCAGTGACAGACTGCAATGTACCTGCAGTGATATTGAACTGCAACAATTTGCATTTCTATAGCACCTTTTCAGGGATGATAAATGCTTGAAAGTACTTAGCAAATATACTGAGGAATACCAAGCAGGGAGAAAGGATGAATGAGAATTAAGAATATTAGTCAAAAAGCAGGGTTTTGAAGTTGTGGTGAGAAGCCAGGATCAGAGATTTTGGGAAGAGAGTTCTAAAAGACAGGGACATAGAGAAACTTGAAAGCCATCAAATGGAACATAGTAACAGGAGTAGGCCATTCAGCCCTTCAAGCCTGTTCCACTACTTAATTAGAGCATGGCTGATATGTACCTCAACTAATCCTTTCAATTCCAATTTCCCATTTTCTCCCCATATCCCTTAATACCCTGACCTACCAAAAAACGATCAACCTCACTCGAAAGTGTGGATGGATCCAGCAAGAATCCAAGGATTATCATTAAATCAAGTGATAGGAAAGATCAATATTCAAAACTAAAAACTCAGTTAATGAATTGTCATGACATTTATTCCACTTTGTGTAGGCAGGTTAAATCATGAAAAGTATACAGTGCTTGCACAATGGAAGTCATGTTTAAAACATTAGATATACTCTGTACGACACCACAAATACACTTTCAATAAACACGATTTGTTACAACAGGGACTATTTAAAATTCAATGCATCAAATACATATAAACAAATGAAATGATTCACGCTCTCTCGATGAGTATAGCTGTAAACAAGTTCTTTAAGAACATTCACAACTAATGCAGCTTACTGCACAGCACTTCACAAATTAGATTTTTTTTTGTTTTAAATAATGACATTTTCATAAATACAGATTCAGATTATTGCAGCACATAATTCAATACCTGATTGGTAAAAAGTACATCAACATAGGTATATTTTCAAGGGTAATAGCAGCAGACAGCTTGCAGGAATGGACTTAATTACACAAACACAGGTTAATTCAGGTTTAAAGAAAAGTAAGGGGAGTATCAGGATCTGTCCAATTCTACTGTAACCCTAAAGGACAAGTTGAATAATGAGCATTTCTTTATTTGAACTCGAGCAGATTGCAGTCAATCTTGTAGTACACATAAGGGTAGTATTCTTGCTGGCTTAGATTTAGACCTGGAATGTCTATGGCTGCCTGCAAAAGATGACAGAGAGAAACAAAATCAATATTTGCATTGTGCTATCAAATACAGAAATAGGGGCAAGCCCAATGGTCTTAGTCTAATGGCATTTTACAGACTGGGAGCTTACTGGTTCGAAATACAGTAGGTTTTGAATTTACTGGTCTTAGCCGAGGCTGCATTGAGATGCTAAACTGGTCTCAACCCAGTGTTGTCAGAAATTAAAATATATAGTCCAAACTCAACCAAACACAAGCCCAAAGTATCCCAATATTATGCATTGGCTGCTATGGGGAACAGAATGGCTAATTTAGGTTAATGCTTTTAAAACGGTGTAAGAAAAGGACTTCAACAACAACAACAACATTTCATTTATAGAGCGCCTTTCACGTCAGGAGGACGTCCCAAGGCGCTGGACAGTTGGGTCGGGACCCAAGCAGGGGGGAAATGGTCAGGGTGAGGGGAGGGAGGGAGTGAGGAGGGGGGAAATGGTCAGGGTGAGGGGAGGGAAGGGAGGGAGCGAGGAGGGGGTAGAGAGTCGAGAGGGGAGCTGAAGGCTCGGTCAAAGAGAAAGGTCTTGAGACGGGTCTTGAAGGAGGAAAGGGAGGAGGCGGCGAAGGCACTGGGGGATGGAGTTCCAGAGCCTAGGGGCTGAGAGGCTGAAGGCCCGGCCACCGATGGTAGGGTGGTTGGGTCGGGGGATGTGGAGCAGACCGGAGCCAGAGGAACGGAGGGTACGGGCAGGTAGGTAGGGGGATAGTAGGTCAGAGAGGTAGGAGGGAGCAAGGCCGTGAATGGCCTTGTAGGTGAGGATGAGGATCTTGAATTGGATCCTCTGGGGGATGGGGAGCCAGTGGAGGTGAGCGAGGGTGGGAGTGATGTGTTCCCGAACCTGGTGCGGGACAGTACACGAGCTGCAGAGTTCTGAATGACCTGCAGCTTGTGGAGGGAGGTGCCGGGAAGGCCGGTGAGGAGAGAGTTCCCATAGTCCAGCCTTGAGGTGATAAAGGCGTGGACCAGAGTTTCAGCAGCGTGAGGGGTGAGGTAGTGCCGTAGTCTGGCGACATTCCGGAGGTGATGGAAGGCGGTGCCAGTTGTGGCGCAGATATGAGGAAGAAAGGACAACTCAGGGTCGAACAGAACTTCAAAGAGGAAAAAAAGTTTGCTGGTTTAAATTTAAAAAAATTAAATTAGGCATTTTCCCAGAATTAGGGATGGAAAAACTAACCAGGGTTCCTGCTACCTGTACGTCACCTGCTACTGGTTTGTGTGTATGTGTTACAGCTAGGAAGGAAGAGGTCAGGCTTGGCTGTGACACCCTCTGCAGTCAAATGTCCTACAGACATTTACCGTTAACGCATACAGGAACATAATGTCTATTTGGATATGGCAACCAGTGCCTGTGAAACCCTGTCCAGAACAGAGACATACAATACTCCACTGTATACAATTGTGGAGTCCTTTAGCTCAGTGGTTAGAGCACTCACCTGGCAAGTGAGAGACCTGGGTTTGATTCCTGGCAGGATGAAACCTTGGGCAATATTTGTGGGCGAACGCGGCAGCCAATTGCGCACAGCAATGTCCCACAAACAGTCGTGGATTGAGTGACCAAATTATTATTTTTTTCTTGAGGGATTATTATCATTTATGTGGAGTCCTGTAGCTCAGTATTACTAAATAGTATTTAGTATTACTAAAAAAAAATTCTACTTTACTAAAAATGATTTCGTTATTTTTTCCTCAAGGCAATGTAGTTCTGTGATTTCAAGGTTTAAGACATACGAGTAAACATATTCATTTAGAAATCAAGATAATTTGTATTAAATCGATCAAATCATTACAAGACAGATACTCTAATTACTACACTGGGGGATTCATTCTATAATAACAGGGTTCATCAAATTGAGGGGTATCATTGATGGCGAATAAAACTTTGCCCATGTCAGGTGCCTGGCTGGTATCAACATCAAGTTCATTATAGCAGACATCTCCAGAGTAATACTTTCCTGACTGCACAACAGTGTTATTATCCATGATAAATTATATTACGAACTCACATTCATGAACAAAACAGAATCACCCTCCAGTATTTTTTTAGTCCCAACTTCAGAGGAACAGCCCCATCTTTTGATTGATATCTCCCTCTCCCTCCACATCAACTCCCCCACTCACAGTCACGGCCACCCACTCGACTTGGTGATCACCCGGGGCCTCAGTGTCTCGGATGTCACCATCACCGATAAGGCCGTCTCCGACCACCACTTCATCTCCTTCACCACCTCCACCCCCCTCCCCACCTCCACCAGACCCACCACCATCTTCTACCGCCCCTGGAAGAAGTTACCCCCTCAATCCCTAACCGCTGCCTTGGAGTCCTCTGAACTCCTCTCCCTCTGGCCTTCAACCCTCACCGACCCCTCTTCTCCTCTCACCCTCCTCCACAACACCCTCTCCTCCACACTCGATACTCTTGCCCCTATCACCTCCCGTACTGTCTCCTACTCTCGCTCCTCCCCCTGGTTCACCACCCACCCCCGCTCACTGAAGAGCCAGGTGCGGGCCGCTGAACGCACCTGGGTCAAATCTGGCCTAACGGTCCACCGACAAATCTGGCTGGACCTCCTCAAAATCTACCGCTCCACTCTAGCCTCGGCCAAATCGTCCTTCTACTCCAGGATAATCCTGGAGGCGAAGGACAACCCCAGGCTACTGTTCTCTACCACATCCCAACTCCTCCGTCCCCCCCGCCACCCCGCGCAGGTCATCTCCTCCAACCTTCACTGCGAGGAGATGCTGGATTTCCTTGAATCCAAGATCAAGGGAATCCGCTCCGCGGTCACTTCCCCTCCAACATCCACCCACTCACCCCCTCCCTCCCACACTCCGACTCCTACCCATCCTCCCCTACACACTTTCGTACCCGTTTCCCCACCCTCTGTCACCAAACTCATCCTATCCCTGAAACCTACCACCTGCTCCCTTGACCCCATCCCCACTCCACTCCTTATCTCCCAGCTCCACCTCCTTGCCCCACATATCACAGACATCGTCAACCTGTCCCTCTCCTCTGGCTCTGTTCCCATTCCCTTAAAAACTGCCACCATCACTCCCACCTTAAAAAAACCCTCCCTTGATGCGTCGCAGCTATCAAGCTACCGGCCCATCTCCAACCTCCCCTTCCTATCCAAGGTCCTGGAACGAGTTGTCGCCTCCCAGCTGCGCTCTTTCCTCTCCAACCATTCACTATTCGAACCCCTTCAGTCGGGTTTCCGTGCTGCCCATAGCACAGAAACTGCCCTGGTCAAGGTCACCAATGACATCCTGACCATCTGTGACCAGGGCTCCCTCTGCCTCCTCGTCCTCCTCGACCTATCGGCAGCATTCGATACGGTCGACCATGCTATCCTCCTCCACCGCTTGTCCTCCCACCTAAACCTTCAAGGCCCTGTCCTTGAGTGGTTTAGGTCGTACCTCTCCCACCGTCTTCACTTTGTCTCCACAAATGTTTTTTCCTCCGGCCCCCGCACTGTCTCGTGCGGTGTCCCTCAAGGCTCTGTCCTCGGTCCCCTCCTCTTCACCCTCTATATGCTCCCCCTTGGTGACATCATCCGCAGACATGGGGTTAACTTCCACATGTATGCGGATGACACCCAACTCTACCTTTCCTCCTCTACCCTCAACTCCACGACCACCGATGTCCTGACAGCTGCCTGTCCGACATCGAGTCCTGGACGAGAGATAACTTTCTCCAGCTCAACGTGCGCAAAACTGAGGCCCTCCTGATTGGCTCACGTCAGCGCCTCCGCACCTCAGGCGCTGACAGCATCAGCATCCAAGGCTGCACTCTCCACCTCTCAAAGCCAGTCAGGAACCTCGGGGTTCTGTTCGACCCTGAGCTGTCCTTTCTCCCTCATATCCACGCCACAACTGGCACCGCCTTCCATCACCTCCGGAACATCGCCAGACTACGGCACTACCTCACCCCTCACGCTGCTGAAACTCTGGTCCACGCCTTTATCACCTCAAGGCTGGACTATGGGAACTCTCTCCTCGCCGGCCTTCCCGGCACCTCCCTCCACAAGCTGCAGGTCATTCAGAACTCTGCAGCTCGTGTACTGTCCCGCACCAGGCTTCGCGACCACATCACTCCCACCCTCGCTCGCCTCCACTGGCTCCCCATCCCCCAGAGGATCAAATTCAAGATCCTCATCCTCACCTACAAGGCCATTCACGGCCTTGCTCCCCCCTACCTCCCCAACCTACTATGCCCCTACCTACCTGCCCGTACCCTCCGTTCCTCTGGCTCCGGTCTGCTCCACATCCCCCGCCCCAACCGCCCTACCATCGGTGGCCGGGCCTTCAGCCTCTCAGCCCCAGGCTCTGGAACTCTATCCCCCAGTGCCTTCGCCGCCTCCTCCCTTTCCTCCTTCAAGGCCGGTCTCAAGACCTTTCTCTTTGACCGTGCCTTCAGCTCCCCTCTCGACTCTCTACCCCCTCCTCGCTCCCTCCCTTCCCTCCCCTCACCCTGACCATTTCCCCCTTGCTCGGGTCCTGACCCATTTGTACAGCGCCTTGGGACGTCCTCCCAACGTGAAAGGCGCTCAATAAATGGAATCTTGTTGTTGTTGTTGTTATATCCATTTCCTACACAATCATCTATGCCTCCTCCTCTCAGTGCTGTTTTCCCATGTTCCATGGGAAGTGTTGAGAACATTCAGCCTCTTGATTCCTATCATCAACCAGCATAGATCTTGACCTGGTAAATCTGAGCTGAATGCAAACCCAAAGGTAAGGAGTGTGCTAGCCTATTTCACTGCCAGCAAGCCAAACAATAAGATTATAATAATAATCCTGGCATTTGATGTAGCACCTTATTCATGTACACATTGTAAAGTGCTTCAAAGTAAAGTGTATTTTGTGGGTGAACACAGCAGCCAATTCACATGCAGCAATGTGCCATGACCATAGTGCTCCACCATGCAGTGTTGGAGAACGCAGAACCTTGGGACGTCTTCCTGACGTGAAAGGCGCTATACAAATGTAATTTTGTATTGCATTGGAGTGCCAGCATAGTTTAAAGTGTTAGAGGTGCTGTCCTTCAAATGAAATGTTAAATCAAGATCCCACCTGCCTGTTTAGGTGGACGTTAAAGATCCCATAGCACAATTCAAAAAGCAAAGGGAGAAGATCAAAATCTACAAATAGGTCAACTGAAGAAGTGTAAGATGACTTACATCAATGATAGAAGCAGCACTGCTGTCCAAGTGTTTGTAAAGATCATAAAGCACCTCTCGAAGTTTCTTCATCATTTTCTTGCTGGGTTGCAAAAGCATTGCCTGGAAATTTACTGGCAACCCGTATCTGAACACAATTAGGATAAAGCACAAAGTCAATATTTGAGTACCAAGGTATTTATATAAAACTCAACACTTAGGGTGAATTATGATTTGATTTTTTATTTAAATTGATAATGTTAGCCAATTTATCTCAAATCTCTAAATTCAGTTCTATTTAAATCTCTAAAGGAAAAGAATGGAGCACAAAATGTAAAGTGTATATTAGCAGATATGAAGAAGTACTTTATCTTTTCAAATACAAAGGAAAAATTACTTATTTTAATTTGACATTGCTTAACAATTACTGAATTCAATTCATACTTCTAGCTATAGTATTCACAAGCTTACTGAATTGCGATTTAATAACCCTTGGTTACTTAAACTACAATTTGTAAATTAATAAATACTATTAACATTTTAAATAAAATATTCTGAAAAAAATCAGTAGAGGCCATTCGACATATCATATGCTACTTACTCACTTATCCAAATCACTCTCTTTTTATCCCACTTTCCAGTTCTTTCCCATGTCTCTTCATGTGGTTAATGTTCCAAGTGCTTATCCAGTTCAATTATTTTATTCATCACAACCTCAATACGTACTTATAGTCACAATAATCTTTAAGCCACTGTATAACGATCCATAGGTATGCATTGAAAGTACTGATAATTTTTTTTGTAGTAGTAGGTTGGAGGAGATTAGCTACGATGAGAGGCTGGGTTGATGTGGGTTTATATTGGAGTTGAGGGGATTAACAGATAACCCAATTGAGGTGTTCAAAAATAATGAAGGGAGTTGACCAGCACTTCCCTTTTTAGTAGAGGAATACAAAGGGGACACAATTCTAAGTTTAGAGTTAGGATGGTTATTCACTCACTCTCCCCTCTTTCCCCACACAACTTCCACTACATTACCCTCATCTATGCTCATTTATTTCCTTAAAAACACAATCAGATTAGTCAAACATCATCTGCCTATCATGAATCTGTATTGAATTTCCTCGATCAGTTTATTATTCTCCAAGTGCTTATCAATTTTTTTTTGCCTAATATCAGGACTGGGAACATGTACCTTGAGTCCAGCTAGCCAGTTTCCAGGCTGATCTCCATTTTTTTGGCACAAGATTTGCTACCCGTGAATCCCTAGGAATTCTTCTCACTTTTAAGACCTCTGAAAATTTTTAATTGGTACATCTACTATCAACTTCCCTTAACATTCTGGAGTAAAATCCAATGATGGCAAATTGTCCATTTTAAATTCCATTAATGTTTTGTCTATCACTTCCTTATTGTCAGCCTGACTAGGTTGGTAACACTCTAACCTCATTAGTATAATAAGTCATTAATCGTACCTTAGAACAGATTCTACAAAAACCCGTAATGCTTTCACATGAATCCAAGCAATGAAAGCTTCACTGAAGTTAACTTTCAGCCAACGAACCAAAGGGCCCTGGAAACAAAAACAAGTTTAAGCAAAAAATTGTTTCAACATACTGCTATTGCAGTTGCCTACATCCTGTTCCAGAATAACCCCTTTAATTTTTTTTAAAAAGCAAAAGTAGAGGCAATATCCTTTCAAAAAACATTTCACAGAGTGGATGTGAACATAGGAAAAAAAGGAACACGAGGAGGCCATTTAACCCATTGACAGGCTCAGTAACAATCCTTGCATTTCCTTGTGTCAAAAATGCAAGGATTACTATTGAGTCTGTCCCACCAGTTTATTGCATTTTGGTAGATCTTTTAATTCCATGCCTTTCTCCATATCCCTTAACACCTCTACTGTGTAAGATACCACTGAAACAGCAAAATATTGGGAATTTTAATTGAAGATATTTTCAGCATTTTTTGCAATATTTTGCCAGTTTTCAGAAATAGCAATTAACCATTTGAGATTATTGCAAATTAGATGGATTTTCAATCTCGGCAATCTGAAATCGCAATTAGCACATGCAAATTGAATCCTAAAGTATTTTAGAGGCAGTGATAAGAAAACTGTTTTCCATGATACTCCATGATTGAAATGCTGATATCAACTATCAACAGATAATGTGTTGTGATTGTATGAATGAGTAACCAAATATATTGGAAAATAAATTGGATATGAAAAACAGCATAAATGGAACCAGCTACATATCTAGCCGAAAAGTTTTAATACATACAAACTGTTTCTTTTTGTCAGTTGAAAGTCGAGTCATCTCTTCCTTATCCGCTTTCAGTTCCTCCTCATTGTACTGGAATTCACGAACTACAAATCTGAAAAGAAAGAGAGACTAGAAGGGAAGAAGCGAATTGAACTCTGAAACCAGAAATGCTCATAGAAATCATTTAGAACAAATGTCTTACTTGTTTTCCCTGGCCTGGAGTCGAAAGTCATCCACAGCCTTCCTGAACAATGTAACATTGTACAGACCACTGTCATTATCATCATAAATCAATCTATTATGAAAGAAAATGTATTTTTATTAAAACTCTTACATAAAAAGTTTGCACATCGTTTTTTAGATTGCTGGGGTATACATTAAGCTCTGGACAAACTATTCAAATAAAATACTTGCATTTGATATTGCGCCTTTAATGCGATGAGTGGGTGCTGGCTGAGCCAGCGAATGAACTCACCCACAACTAACTTATCACGTCAGATCATTTGTCACTGGGCCCCTTTCCATTGGAGTGATGAGTTATCCAGAATTTACTATAATTGTAGGGAATTCCATTACAGTAGAAGGCTGAAAATCCACATGCCAGCTATCAATTCCTTTTCTCCCTAAAATGTGCCTCTACAATCAAGTTCGCACAGTTCTTCAATTTGTAAATCATGAAGACATCACTGACAAAACAAATCAAAGATTTTCCTTACTTGCTGGACCGTGGGACCACCATATCGGCCAAGGTTTCATAGGTTTTCTCCCATTCAGTGTAGTTTATTCTAAAGACAAAATAGCAGTGGACAAATAAAGCACAAAGAAAGATCATGACAAAGACTTTGCTTTCTTTGTAACTGATCTTTCAAACGATTACCTTCCATAAATTAAATCTACTGTAGAAAGTTATCAATAATGACCTATCCTCTTGCACATCTGTTCTTAGGATCAGTAATTTCATTTCCGCATACTGACCTGGATCAAACTCCGTACCCATCTCTCACCAGTTCTGGCCAGGCTCCCCATCACCAAACAGATCGACTTCAAGATCCTCACACTTGTGTTCAAATCCCTTCACTCTCTGGCACCTCCCTACCTCTCTGACCTCCTCACTCCCATTCCACTCGATTGGCACCCGCTTTCTGCTCATCCCTCGCACCCTCCACTATTGGAGGTCGTGCTTTCAGCCACTTCGCCCTAAAACTCTGGAACACTCTCCCTCAATCCCTCGGCTTTGCCCGCTCTCTCCCATCTTTCAAGTCCCGCCTGAAAACTTTCCTGTTCGACCATGCTTACAGCCACCTCGCCCCTCCCCCTGGCTCGGAGTCAGGCTCCGCCACTGTTAAGCGCTCTGAGATACTATATAAGTGCAAGTTTTTGTTGTTCATTTCTTGTACCAGCAGAATTTGCATATGCTAGGATTTTCCATTATACAGATAAATAGCCACACTTCAAAGTATTTAATGCCTGCTTACTCTAGTTTGTGTTTATTAAGTCGATTTTCCACATTTAATTAGCAAAGTGCAACTTAACATATGTGTCAATTCTGTGCATTGTTCCCAGAATCACACCCAGGCAGTTGTTTCAGAATGCAACCTGAAATTGCCATTGTATTGACTGCAAAATAACTCAGCATTTCTTCATCTGATTCCAATAAATTTTTAAACTTAAATTCTTAACTAGTCTTTGCTTAAGATCATAATATTATCAAGAGCCAAATTAATTCCTATCTGGTATTGGAGCTGTCTATAGGCAGACTTCTCAAGACGAGAACAATACAGAACGGACAATTAGAACCAGACATCGCAATTGGTACTCATCGTTTTTTCTCTGTAGTACATGTGTGAAAAACCACAATCCAAATTAATTCCATCAATTCCATTAGTGACATCAAATGTCTTAATTACAAGATTTTGACAACTGTTTTAGTATACTTGCAATCTCACAATTCACTTATCAAAGATACTCATGTGCTAATAAAGTTAATAATAATCCTTGCATTTGATATAGTGCCTTATCACATCATTGAGAAATCTCAAAGCGCTTCACATCAGTTTAATGTCTCATCCAAAGGATGAGTGTTTCTTAAAAATATTCAATTTCTGAACTCTGCAATGTACTGTATTTAAGGAACTTATTAACAGATACAATTAGAATACTCCTGAAGATATTAGAACTATTAAGCCTGGGTACTAAACTTCCATACGTGGTTCAATCTCCTTAAAGCTAGTAGTTCAGCCTTAGGGAGCTCTCGCTTACCCACTCTCCCAAGATAGAATTTTTGACACACCACTCATTAATTTCAAAAAGGTGATTCGACCTGTTAAAATCTGACCCCAGAACCTTCTGTCCCAAGTTCAGTGCAGAAATACACTAATGAGTCAATTAAAGATTGTACCATCATTCTTTAGAATATTTCATCTAAATTTAAAAACTTATTTTAAAAAACATATAGTCCACAACCTAAGTCTTGCTGATAAAGCACAATATTCATCTCAAGTTTATTAAGGCAATTTATTTTTCATGTAAAAAAAAGCTTCTTACTTGGGTACAACTACCAGCAAAGTGGTAAGGTATTCAGAGTCAATTACGAAGTCTTCTTTCTTCACAATATCTGCTAGACTTCTAGTCATCAAACTTCCCCTACAAAGGAAAGTCCAGGGCAAAACAACAAAAGTTATGAAGTTCATTTCTATTCAGGAGTGAAATGGCAATAGATACAACTTTGAAAAGCATGCAGTAAGGTCAAGTCCAATATTTAAAATTAAGTTGCAGAACACCTTGAAGCATTCATTGAATTAAAGACCCAATTTGCACAGGCAAGAATCGGTTAAACAATTAGAAATTAGAACACACCTGAAACATACAACTACTATAGTTAAGTCAGTTTGCAAGTAAAGTTCTTATCACCCAGTGGTTCCAAAAGAACATTTAACACACTTAAAGTTCACTCCCATCAATGGAGAGAAAACAAAAGGAAGAGAGGAAGGTAAGAACGGCTTAATTTGGAAGCTGGTTTTCTGAACCAACCTCCAATTTAAGAGTGAATTAAAAAAATTTCCACAGTTCTGCACAATATGAAATTTTAAGACAACGTGGCCTAGGAGGAATTTCAGGCCTTGAGAGTTCCACACATGTATGGTTTCTATTTCTGTGGTCTGGACCATAGGCTTTCTCCAAAGTGATGCATCCTTCTTACATAATCCTGGTGAATTTTGGCATACGATGCAAGAGCTAGGGGTTGGGGACCCCCGCATGTGCTGGAGCTTAACCAGTTAAAATTGTGAGGCCTGCCATTGCAGAGCATTGGTAAACTCATCCAGCGAGGCCTCCATATTCATTAGCAGTTTAGTTTGCAGGATTAATAGGAGCTGAATGGAAAGAATCCCAGCCCCCAGTAACTGGTCCATGTTTTGAAGTCACACCAACAAAGCTGGCTGGTCTATCTTCAACAGCGCTCAGGTATGGTCTGAGAGACCAGAAGATTGACCCAATGTTGTCAGTTGCATCACTTTGGAGCCAAGTCAATCAAAGAAACCCTGCTTGCCTCCACCCGCCAACAGTCATTAGTGTAAGACAATGCTACTTCAATTATTATACACATCAAAACACAACTTACACATTCTTCCTCTCTAGATTCTGTAAATTTCCTTTCAGATTGTTATATGCTGACGCTCTTGCTTTTAGGTCATTGTCAATTTGGGTTACTTGCTGTAGATTTGCAAACAGACATAGTATAAATTGCAGGTTAGTGACATTCACTCTTTTTATATTCTGGAGATCAATAAAATGTGTATGGAATACTTAAAAGTGCAAGATGTTTACAATTTTATTTCAACCATTCTTTTATAGCAAGCAAAACACACAGCATTGTCAAAGTCTTAAGAACTGTTTATTCACAAAATATAATAATTCTACTTCTTATGTATGGATTACTGTTCACATGTTCACACTGGACAAGAGAAGGTTGAGGGGCAATATGATTGTTGCTCTTTAAGATTCTGAAGGGAATAGATAATGTAGACCATGATATTTTTGTATTGTACTGAACAATAGAACCAGAAGACATGGCCTGCGATTGAAGGGGGTTAAATTCAGAACAAATCTGTGGAAACACTACTTCAGTTGTTTCAAGGAAATAATATCTCACAATACAGTGTATAGTTTGGGACATGACATGTCAAGCGAATGCCAGGATGGTGGAAGGCAAACTAGATGGACCTTGGTCTTCTTTCGCCTAGCAAATTCTCACTTTCTTATTATTCAAATAATTAGCTTATACAGAGCTGTGAGTAGAAACATGGTGGCAAACTCTCACACATTGATGTGAAGGCTCAACCCTGTGCTTGTTGGATATAAAATGACCAACCCGGGGAAGTGGAGTTGGGGGGGGGGGGGGGGGGGGGAGTAAACAGTATCTTCTCAGTCACGTTTGCTAACACAGTCACCACCATAAATCATGTGAAGCACTTGGATTTGATCTCCCAACATGAAGGGCACTCTACCAAACACAAGAATTATTTATTCCTGTGTCTAGCCAACCTCAGTCTGCCATGCCTCTTCCTCCTCCACCCCGCCACCACCCATTTTTAAACACCAACCTTTGCAATGATTTCACAAATGTTTTTCAGCGACTGTTTGATTGGATACTTCGCCATGTCCCACTGAAATCTTGTAATATAGGTAACCAAGTCAACTAAAAAGGGGGGGAAAACATTAATGTAAAAAACATTACCCTAATTGAGAAGAGTTAATAAACTAGACGCGAGAGCATTTCAACTACCATTCTAGTAACTTCCCCATTTACCTCCATTGGCCAAAAGGTTCTCTTGCACTTTGTCCCTACTGTCTTCCAACACATCAGCCATGTACTGAGCCACTTTCTTCACAACTCTGAAAAGAGATAATCAGGAGGGTTACAAATCTGAAAAGGGTAAATATAAAACAGCTCTCCCTCCTCCATAACCTCAAAAGTGCATCACCTATGCACACATTCCTCATCAGCGTATACTGAGGCTGGTCTGAACTGAAACTTGGAATTTACTGGCAAAATATACATATTAGTGCAGATTAACTCCTACTTGTAACCAGGTTGGGAAGGATAATTTTGGACAGACAATCAAAGTAGCTTCTTTGAAACCCACAGGATAATCAACAGCTGTTAACTGTTTGAATGAAGGGGTTGAAGCCAAGATGGAGTCCTGTAGCTCAGTGGTTAGAGCACTCGCTTTGCAAGTGAGAGACCTGAGTTCAATTCCAGGCAGAGGGCGAAACCTTGGGCAAGTTTCATTACTCCACACAGAGCCTAATAATAATCCCTCCAAAACCAAAAACAATAATAAATTGGTCATTTTCAATCTACGACTGTTTGTGGGACATTGCTGTGCGCAATTGGCTGCCGCGTTCGCCCACAAATATACAGTCAATTCACTTTACAGTGTGTTCTGTGAAGCGCTTTGGGATGTCTTCCCGACGTGAAAAGCGCTAAATCAAATGCAAGGATTATTATTATTAAGATGCTGGACTCATTTAAAAAGCTATTTGTGTTTGGATTGCCTTGGAGGCAGAAGAGAGAAGCAAGGATGACCCTAGTGTTACAGAAATGTGCTATTAGCAATGATTAGATAATCTAGTGCTCTTTGGTCTTGGAAAGAAAAATCTCAGAAGGTATCTAAGATTTTAAATAGAATTGAGCAAGCAACCAGAACAATAGCTTGATACACCAATGCAGCACAACAAAAGGGTTCAACAACAACAAAATTACATTTGTATATCGTCGTTCACATTGGGAGGATGTCCCAAGGTACTGGACAATTAGTGTTTCGGACCCAAGCTGGGAGTCGGGATCAAGGAGTGGGGGGAAGGAGGATGACCGAAGGCACGGTCGAAGGGGAGGATCTTGAGATGGATTTTGAAGGAGGCGCCAAGACAGAGGGACTGTGGGGTGAAATCCAGAGTGAGGGGGCAGAGTGGCTGAAAGCCCGCCCACCAATGGTGGGGCGGGCGAGGCAGGGCACGTAAAGCAGGTCAGAGTCTACTGAGCAGAAGGAGCGGGCAGGTTGGTAGGGGATTTTTCATAGTCAAGCCTGGATGTTATGAATGAGTGTATGGGGGTTTCAGTGGCCTGCGGTATGAGACAGTGGTACAGCCCGGCGATATTGCGAGGTGGAGGAAAGCAGAGTGGCTCATGGCACGGATGTGGGGTAGACAGGATAGTTGAAGGTCAAAATTGCAAAGGGCAGTTTTAGGATAGACATCAGAATGCATGTCTCTACCCAGATGGCAATTAACGACTGGAATAGATTGCCAAGAATGGTGGTCGAGGCCCACACATTTAAGAAACAGTTTTGAGTAAAGTAGATATTCTGTAAAGTAAAGCCTCCCCTTGTGTTCAGAGTGTTGTGATCCTGCTTCATAACTGAAATTGTGAAGATACGTTAACCCATGTAATCAAAAGCATTATCATAATTAATAGCTAGAAATGCTTATGTTGAAAGAATTATTTTCATTAATGCCTTAAACATGCTTATGTTGGTTAGAAAAATGCTAAGGTAACTTAATTATTGTAGCTGAGGTAGTTGAAGAGGGTTTCCCATAACAAATTTATGTTTGTGTTAAAGATGTTTTCTATAAGAATTCAAGTTTTATAACAATTCATGTTCTCCTAATACAATAACAAGTCTGCAGGTATAGTATCAATTCTGTAGATTATATTTTATGTGAGAGCACCTCGGGGGCTGGCAGCATCAGCATCCACGGCTGTACATTCAACCTAGGAATCTTGGTGTCTTGTTTGACCCTGAACTGTCCTTTCTCCCCCCACATCCGCGCCATGAACGGCACTGCCTACCACCACCTCCGCAACATTGCCAGACTCCGCCACTGCCTCAGGCTGCCGAAACCCTTAAGCATGCATTCGTCACATCAAGGCTCGATTACGGAAACTCCCTCCTCATCCACTTTCCCAACTCCAAAACTCCGCAGCTTGTGTACTCTTGCTCACCAGGCTCCGTGACTCCATCACTCCCACCCTCGCCCGATTCCACTGGCTCCCCACCCCCCAGAGGATCGAATTCAAGATCCTCGTCCTCACTTTCAAGGTTGCCCCCCTCTACCTCTCTGACCTGCTGATTCCCTACCAACCTGTCCGCTCCCTCCGTTCAGCGGGTTCTGGTCTTCTCCATATCTCCCGCCTGACCTGCCCTACCATCGGTGACTGGGCTTTCAGCCTCTCTGCCCCCACACTCTGGAACTTCATCCCTTGCCTCCTTCAAGGCCGGTTTCAAGACCCTTCCCTTCAATCGTTCCTTTGGTCGCCCTCCCACCTCTCTCCTTCCCTCACCCCCACCACCCCTCCCCCATGCTCGGGGCCCGACCCCTGACTGTTCAGCGCTTTGAGATGTCCTCCCGACGTGAAAGGCGCTCTACAAATGTAGTTTTGTTGTTGCTTGTTGTTATGAGACAATTGCTTCATGGACACAAGAATGGAAAGATTTTACTTTCCCATCCTGTATGTGGAAAATCGATTATAAAAGATGTATGGTTGAACCAAACTTTGTTCAGCCTAGGATATAGCATAGCAAATCAGGTGCTGTTCACACAAGAGCAATCTTTTATGTGACGATATGAAATGGTTAAGCAAGTATGTTGTTTTCAGGGTTAAAATCTGTCAGACTTAAACTGTTCCAGCGTTTCGTCAACTTTTGTTGATTCCAGTAATTTTAGGAAAAAGCAAAGCTAACATAATTAACAGGTCAACAGAAAGTGTTTAGAAAACAACAGGAGAAGAATAACAACCTATAACAACTGCAAAGTAAAGTACACAGCTCAGCAGTTCATTATTGAGGATTAAACATTGGCTTCATAATCAACAAACCCCAAGCAAGAGGTTTCTGGTCTGAAGCAAGAGACTTTTCGTCTGATGCAATACTTTTGCCTGATGTTTCTGAATTTGCCAACTGACTTTGATACGGACATCTGTCTATACTATTGACTATTGTTGTATTTGTGATAATTGAACTAATAAACTTTACATTTCTTATTAAGTAAAGAATTTCCAAAGCATGAGTTGCAAAGTGTCTTTGGTTCCTCTGTTCTCAGGCCTTTAATTAAGGAGGGCTGTAAAGAATAAGCTGGTCTGACTCTTCTTATTGCCCAGAAATCAACAAGAGCAACTACCTTATTACATCATACAACTCATCTACCAGAATGTTTTCCATCAGCTCCAATTCCAAAATTAGCACGTACTCCCAAAAAAGATCATCCTCTAAAATGAATACAGTTCTATTAAAGAGTCTTCATCAGTTTGCTATGAAATATCACATGAATAAATTTAGTTTTGTCATTCAGTTCCATTTTATTCAGAGCTGGCACATTCCTCTCATTCCACCAGTTAAAATTAATTGCTTGTTTTTCCTCAACAAACAGGTTGTTCTGAATAAAAGCAGTAAGCAAAATTTGTTTCCTTGAATAAACTGATCTGGAACTAACTTGGATCCCAAAATAAGAGCATTGTCTCTCTGTTAGATTCCACACGATTCTCTAAACTTTGGAATTAAAATCAGCTAACTTCACATTTGAATGTTAGGAGATTCAACAAAACTAATAAGACTGCGCTAAAAAACTGTGTACACTCAACGTTTTGCTTCACAATTTGACATTTCAGCGCCTTGGGATGTCTTCCCGATGTGAGAGGCGCTATATGAATGCAATTTGGTTCAAACGTGTTTTAATTGGTTTAAATAACATTTAAAACAATATCTTGTTTTCAATTTGAATTTTCAATATATTGAATGAAGTTCTTGAAAGCAACTAGCATTTTTAATCAGACAGAATCTGTGAGAACACTATGAGTTAACCTCTACGTGTGCCATCAATAATGAAGAGTTCATTAGTCATCTAGTCATTTTATGAATCAATTATTCTAGGTGTTATGTTTTTATGGCAGTGAACAGCTGATATTCTATTCACTGACAATTCATTGAGGCAGTTTAATAATACTATTTTGTAAAGTACTTTGACTTTTTTTGTGAGAGGCGCTTCACAAAAACACCTCTCAATGGAAGCAACAACAACAGCATGCTTTTGTAAGGTGCCTCCCATACAAAAAAGTCTCAAAACACTTTACCAAATATAATTGATTAGAAAAGAAGTGAATGTTGTTACACAGGCAAATGCAGCAGCAAATCTGCACCAGGGATGTTCCACAAACAAGGAGTGAAAATTTGAGGAATTTTAAAAAAAGCTTTATTTTTATACAATCCACATTACAACTCCTTGCTGCTGACTCAGGTGTAGGTTCTTAATTGACATGGCACCTAAAGTATAAATTTATATTGATCACCTTCTACCACGACAGCTTTTAATCCAATTTATGAGAAACTGGGGCTGTTAACATTAGAATAGAGAAGGTTGAGTGAAGAATTGATAGAGGTGGTTAAAATTATCAGGGTTTTGATAACATAAGTATGCTGAAAATTTCCACTGTTTGGTAAATTGATAAATATAAGAATGTATAATCATTACAATAAAAAAAAGGCTAGATTTTTTAGAACGCCTTATGGAAAACCTTGGTCACAACAGAATGTATAATAGCTTTTAAAAGAAAATTATACAAATAATTGAAAGGAAAACAAAAACTAAGAGCTATGGAGAGTTGGGAGTAAATTAATACCTCTTGCAGCGAACGAACTCACAGACTTGACAGACAGAATGGCTTCTTTCTTTTTAGGCTGTAAAAGTCTATGGTTCTCATTTGAGCTCCCATTCTGAATGCCCACGATTTTGACAAACATTTAATGCTCAATTTATACTGATGAAAAGCAATATAGAGAAGAAAAATAAAGTGTTCAAAAAGAGTATACCCCCATTGATGCATACTCAGCAACTCTTATTCCATTTATGATAGAACATTAAATTTAGTCAAAACTCACATTAGCCTTTTCCAAACACTCAGGAAATTGACAAAGCAACACTTCAAATTTTCTATAACGTTCTGATAACTTACCCCTCCACGAATGAATCCAATTTAGCCAGCTCATCGGACAACCCCACTAAAACATCTAAGGTTCCCACCTAGAGAAAAAAAGTAGAGAAAATAATATCGAAATGAGATACTATCTATAAAACAAACTGAAGTCAGTCAATGGATTTCACTATATTTTAGTCACAACAGAATGTACAACAACTTTTAAAAGGGAATTATACAAATATACAAAAAGGACAGTCAATTCACTTTACAGAATATTCTGTAAAGTGCTTTGAGAATATAGAATATTTGACGCTATATCAAATGCAAGGATTATTATATTTGCAGTTGAAATTTGAATCTGGAAGCTTCTGAAGGAGGGAAGGCTAAAAGAGGGAAGTAACAGTTATGAATGCTTCTGCACGTGAGTCTTAATTACACAAGGAATCATTTTGTCTGCTTGCATTTAGATTTTAAATGTGAAGAAATGTTGTATGGCATTATACATGAAAACTGGAATACAACAAAAAAAAGGCTTGTTTCATCCTCTCCCCTCCAAAATTGATCACAGAGGTTGGATTCCACCCCCAATGGTATAAAGTAGCTTTAAGTGTATAAAGTAGCTTTAAGTCCTTCCCCCAATTTAGAAGCACTCATTGCGAGACTAAGTCGTTTTTGTTAAGACTGATGGTAACATTTCTCAAGCCATTGAATTGAGCAATAGTTAATTTCACTTCAATAAATTGCATTTGTTCCTTTTAGAGATCAGCCATTATATTGGTGACATTTAGTCCATCATATTTCATAGGATTATTTAATCTATTTCTGATTCAACCATTAGATTTTTTTAACACCTAACCTCCACATGACAGAGAGAAGTGGATAACTATTTGGAGAGGACAAGTTTGCAGGGCTATGGGGAGAGCACGGGGAGTGGGATTGATTTGGATAGCTCTTTTCAAAGAGCCGGCACAGATATGATGGGCTGAATGGCCTCCTTCTGTGCTGTATAATTCCATGGTTCTATGGCCTAAAAATCCACATACCTTGAAAACGCACATCATCAACAACATATTTACCTTCAAATCTGGAATTGCAAACTTGAAGTTGGTGGAGAGGTGATTGTTCCTTGTTGTTGCACTATTTAATTTGTCCCAAGTCTGCTGACATGTTTTCTCCCCAGGAGCAGATATCAACCAAAATTCTGCCATCCTTGAAGCAAATTAATATTTTGTATAGAATCGATTGTTGTAACTGCAAAAGAAAGTTGGAATATAGAATTCAGTTTATTCAAAGACCAGTGCTGCAAGAAACATTCTTCTGATTACATAAGGATGCATTTTATCAGAAGCAAACATGAAGGTGGCAGCTTCTCATAAATTAATAAATTATGCACAACTCAGACATGTCCAATACACTAAAACCCCAGCTAGCCAGAATGGTGGGTGGGAGGAATCCAGTCCGGCGAGTGCAATTTCAATATTTTTTTTTTGAAATTCTCTTTTGGTTTCAGGTCAGGTTTGGCTAACTTTGAATTCCGGGTTTACTGTTGTTGCTTTGTTTTGAGATATACATACACACACACACCAAGAAATAAATCAGTTTTCCAGCAAGTAAAACACGCCATTCAACCATCTCTGTGAGTCCATTGTGTTGCTTTCAGACATACTTTAACTCCTGTTCTACTCCCACTCCCCATATTATTGAAATATCTCACCTCACAGTGCTTCACAGATAACCTCGGTAAAGTGAAGTGACTGAACAGAAGAATGTAGCAAAGTTCTACAGTCAAGAAGTGAATAACTAATATATATAATTATAATTTGATATAAGATGTCTCAAAGTACTTCACAGGATATATTGTAAAGTGTAGTGACTTTGTGTTGGCAAATGTGGCCCCCAATTTACACACAACAATGTCCCACAAACTGCCATAAAATGAATGACTACTTATCAGGGGGATTGTTGGCCAATGACACCAGGAGAAACGTCCTTATCCTTTTGAATGGTACAATAGGATTATAATATTCACCTGAATAAATGTCACCTTGGTTAATGTCTCATCTGAAGGATGGCAACTCCAACAATGCAACCTTCTATCAACACTGCATAGGAGTGTCAACCTACACAGTTACTCAAGTCCCAACATGAATCTTGAACCCCATATCTCAGAAGCGAAAATGCCACCAACTAATTCAGACACCTACAGGCACATTAATCATGCAATACTTTAACAATAAAAGATCAGTGCAATGAACTAAGACAGAATATGCAAAGAGTACACAAAAAATTCAACAAAATATCAATAAACCCAAAGCCCTGGCTCCCACAAATACGATCTCTGATGCCAACACTGTTACCCTCAGACGGCTTGGTAATTCACAATTTTGGCATTTTGTTTAATCCTTAGCTCTACTTTGAGCTTTGGTCCTTGACAAAGTTTACTTTCTACTATCTCCACAACTTTGTCCAACTCTGTCTCAACTTCGACCACCCCTAGTGTAGCTGAAAGCATCATTCAAGCATTTGTCACCTCTACCCCATCAGCAGTGCCGTAAGTCACTACGTCCAAACTGATGGAACCCCCTGCCACAATCCCTCTGCCTTACCCCATTCTTTATCCGTCTTTTCTCTTCAACCACGGCTAGTCACCTCCCCTTTCTCCCTGGCTTAGGGTCAAACTCCGGCACTGTTCAGCACTCCGAGACCCTACCCCACGTGAAGGCAGTGATGCTGTTTTTGGTTTCTCCAATGTCTTCGACAATAAAGCACTCCAATGTCTTCCCAGCTCAACCACAGCTCCAGATCATCCAGAAACAGTCGTATCCTTTCGCTCACCAGCTCGCTCGAACCCATCACTCCCATCCTTCCTATTCCATAGTTTATCAACTTTAAGATCTTTGTTATATGTTACAATGTTATAAACACCTGACCCAGGCTCCACCCCACTTTTCATCGTCCACTATCCTCACCCATTCCGCTACTGCTAATGAGACTTGAAGGTAGACATGTCCTCAAACCTGTAAACTAAATCTTAATCTTGGCAAGTCCATGGGAGACCTAGCTTGACAAGTACCATAAAATCCACTGCTTCATACTTGTACACTGCAGTTAATTTCTGGAATGGTCAATTTGGCTTAGTTGACTTGAAAAAGGGGAGAGAGGGTGCAAGGCCTCCTTGAGGGTGAGTGCTCCAGAGTTCTGTGGCGTAGTGACTGAATGTGCGACCTCCAGTGGTGGAGCGGAGGGCATAAGGGACAAGCAAGAGGCCGGTGCCAGTCGAGCAGAGGCACCGGGTGGTGGACTGGGGAGTGAGGAGGTTGGAGAGGTAGGGAAGTGCTGGGGAGTGAATGGATTTGAACACGAGTGTGAGGATCTTGAAGCTGATCCGTTCGGTGATGGGAATCCAGTGGAGCCTGGCTAGAACTGGTGAGATGGGGGTATAGTTTGGTCTGGGTAAATTTGTAGGCAGCTTGTGAAAGAGGCAAGAGAGGGGATGAGGCGAAGGGATTGCGGGTAACGATGATGATGGGGTAGGTATTCTGGAAAGGTGAAATCAAATCGGCCGGTGGGACACCAGTGCACTCTGGCTGATGGATCAGTAGGCTCCATGTTCAAACTTCACACCAGGACTTGAGCTCATAATCTAAATCAACACTCCAGTGCAATATTGAAGGAGTGCTCAATTGTTGGGAGGGGTCATCTCTCAGAGGCAACATTAAATGAAGGTCTCATTTCTCCAGTTACTCACTCAAATTCACCAAAAGCATTAATTAGTCATTCTGCTCATTGCTGTTCATCAGACAGTGCTGCTCTGATGAACTGCTACATTTGTTAGACACAACACTTCCAAATAATAAATATTGTGTGCGTGAAGCACTTTTGAAACATTTCATATGATTTGCTTGGATGATGAAATTTCTTTGGCCGATTTGATTTCACCTCACCAGTTCTAGCCAGGCTCCACTGGCTTCCCATCACCGAACAGATCAGCTTCAAGACCCTCACACGCGTGTTCAAATCCATTCACTCCCCAGCACTTCCCTACCTCTCCGATCTCCTCACTCCCCAGTCCACCACCCGGTGCCTCTGCTCGACTGGCACCGGCCTCTTGCTTGTCCCTTGTGCCCTCCGCTCCACCACTGGAGGTCGCACATTCAGTCACTACGCCACAAAACTCTGGAGCACTCACCCTCAAGGAGGCCTTGCACCCTCTCTCCCCTTTTTCAAGTCCCGCCTGAAAACCTTCCTTTCGACTGTGCTTACGGTCACCTTCACTCCCCCACCCCCACGGCTCAGAGTCAGGCTTTGCCACTGTTAAGCGCTCTGAGACTCTACCCTGCGTGGAGCGCGCGCTATAAATGCACGTTGTTGTTTTTTCAAATCCCAGTAAAGACCTTCGTCTTCAACCGTGCCTTCGGCCGCCCTCCCACCCTTTACAACTCTAAACCTTGTGTCCTCTTGATCTACTATTTTGCTGCATCCTTAAGCACTGATTGATCTGACCCTACTCTTTCAATCCCATTTAAAATACTAAAGACCTCTATGAGATCCGGATTCTCTCGAGAGTGAAGAGCCCCAGCCCCAGCTTGTCTGCTCATTGCACGTCCCTCTCCTCTGCACTGCTTCAACCACTCTCCCTGGTCAACCTGCTCCATTTCAACAATAATGAATCCCTAAGATCAACCGCGCGGGTTTCCTGGCGAAATAACGTTAAATATTGAAAATGCACTGCAGGTGGAGACGCAATTGAGACCTGCAGAGAGTCAGTCAGTCGGTGGGTCGCTGGGTGAGGTTTGCTGAGAGACCCATCACGTGCACCGCTCCGGTCATATGACAACCCGCGAGCCCACGGGAGGCGCGTGAACCCCGAGCGGCGGCCGCCGCCGCCAACGCCGCGCGACACGGTGTGCGAGTGCAGGGCCACCCCTCCCGCCACCAGCACCACACCGGGACCGCACAGCAGCCCCCTCCCGGGGCCAAGACCGCCATTACATCAATATCCCACTGCCCCAAATCACACACACGCACACAGTGGCTCAGGACAGAGCGGGAGGTTTGTCTCTGCTCCTCCCCCCTCGCCGCCGCCGCCGCTGTTCTCGAGCTGGACAGGCGGCCGGTACCGAGTCCCAATGACGCGAGAGTAAACAGACACAGACAGACAGACAGACAGACAGACAGCCTCGCCCCCCCCGCGCCGCAGCTTCTGGAAGGATATGGAAACAGTCGGCGGCGATAGTGATGGCGGCGGCTCGTGCCCTTCGGCTGCTTCTCCGGGAGAAGGCCGTCAGCTGACAGCTTCCCTCCGGGGCCCTCGCTCCTCCCTCCCGCGATTTGGCGCTGCTCGGGCCGGGGCCCACCTACCAGAGTAACGGTGTCGGTGGCCGCCTCGCGCTCCCCCACCAACATCACCCGCGAGCGGCGCCGCACTGTCAACCGAGCCTCCGCGCGTGCGCACCACCTCACTTCCGCTTTCTGCGTGCACAGCCGACATGTGACGTCAGACCCCCCCCCTCCCCAGTCGAGGTCATCAGCACAATTTGCCTCTGGAACCCATTCAAGCCATTGTGATCATAATAATAATTCATAACATCCTCGGATTTCATATGGCCTCCTTGCTGCGTCTCAGGCTGGCTCAGTCGCTGGCCCTCTCGCCTCTCAGCCGGGACGTTGTGCGTTCCAGCTCCGTGTCGGGACTGGCAACTCACATCATCTAAGCTGACACTCCAGTGCAGTGCTGGGGTGTGCCGCAAGGTTGGAGATGTCATCTTTCAGACGAGACGTTAAACGCGAGGTCCCGTTTGCCTGTCCAGTTGGAGATTAAACATCCGTGGCATGTGGAGTCCTGTAGCTCAGTGGTTAGAGCACTCGCTTTGCAAGCGAGAGACCTGAGTTCAATTCCAGGCAGGGCGAAACCTTGGGCAAGTTTCCTTACTCCACACAGAGCCTAATAATAATCCCTCCAAAACCAAAAACAATAATAAATTGGTCATTTTCAATCTATGACTGTTTGTGGGACATTGCTGTGCGCAATTGGCTGCCGCGTTCGCCCACAAATATACAGTCAATTCACTTTACAGTGTGTTCTGTGAAGCGCTTTGGGATGTCCTTCCGACGTGAAAAGCGCTATATCAAATGCAAGGATTATTATTATTATTATTTCTCCCTGTGGCCAGCAATCCCCCAAATAAAATTGGTTGTTCGCAGGACATTTCCGTCCACAAAACTGGCTGCTACATTCTCCCTAAAATACACTCAGCCTTTAAATCTATTTACCTTACTTTTAAATGATAGTTTACAATACCAAAAAGATTTTGGTGACCATGACTTTTGAGCTCCAGCAATATTATACAATTTAATAAATGATGTGACATCTTATTTGGTAAGATTCCTGCTCATGGGATCATTCCTTTAACTCTTCCACCCCTAATCCACAAGGATATATTTGATTGAAAGAATCTTTCTTATGTCAATTTTGTTTTCAAAGATTAATGAGTATATTAATACAATGTCCAAGGTCGACTGCAATAACTGATGCTGACTTTGTACAAAATGATATGGCAGTAAGTTGAGGGCCCTTTGAACAATTTATAGGTAACAAGGCATATCCCAAAAGAGTATTCACACGTCATCAAAGTGCACTAAACATATTGCTATGGTGAGGAGCACCCCGTTACGATAAGTCACATGTTTCCATTGACTTTAATTGACTTTTTATATCATTGACATACCAATATGATCAAGGCAAATGGATTGCCCACAAAATAAAAGAAAGTCTCTCAATCCATCCTTAGTTCTTCCATCTCAACCCTCTCCCTTACCTCCTTCAAGACCCGTCTCAAGACCCTCCTCTTCGACCATCCCTTCAAGCACCCTCCTACCCCTATCCTACACTCCTCCTTATCCCAACCACCAGCTCAGGTACGGATCCCTTACCCTCCTGACGTGAAAGTTGCTCTACAAATGTAATTTATTATTGTAGTCAAACAATAATGTTGGTAAGAGAACTATAAACTTCTTCCCATTAAAAATGATGCAGAAAAACACAAGGCCAGTGGGCTGATGTATGACTGCTAATGGATTTTACGGCCAAACGTGTGAGGTATATCACTTCAGTATTGACATTTTTAATTTTAGAATGAAACTATTCCATACAGAAGGACCACTAGATGGAGCCTGAGTGCTAATTTGTTTTTGCAAAATTATAAAACAGCAAAATGTAATAAAGGCTGAAGACAACAAATACAAACAGTAGCAATGGCATATTTATATGAGGCTAGATACAGAAGTGTTGAAGGACTACATTTTTGAATTATAATTAAACATTTTATTTTGTGCATGAGAATGATCACTTAAAAGAAATCATCAAGTGTCAATGTATTCAAGCAGTTTATATTGTTGCCTAGCATGTATTTTTTTACTTAATCTTTTTTCACCTTTAATCTTCTTTCCTCCTCTCTTGAAGGCATTCATTAATTCTTAAATATGTTTCCACACATACATGCCTTGACTGTCCAGCACCTTAGAACATCCTCCCGACTTAAAAGGTGCTATACAAATGTAATATTGTATTGTAACACATCTTTGGTATCTTCGTGGTAATCATTTAGTGAACCTAGGCACTGAGTATTGGAAGATGAAGGTAATTTCTAATCCTATCCACCAACATCAACTCATTCCAGTCGATTGTCAATCCCCCATTGTGTCATTTACTTCATGGCTGTTTGTGGAATGTTGCTCTGTGCAAACTGGCTGTTGTATTTGCCTACAAATACACAATCATTAACTTTACAGAAAAACTGTGAAGTGCTTTGGAACTGTTTCTGCATGACAAGATCCCTTATTAAATACAAGTATTTTTTTCAGAAATGCAGGGCCTTGTACAAAATTAATAAATGGGCCATTTGATCTGAAACTTTATTTTTGTGTACTGCAAGCCAGGCCATACATAATACACATTTGTACAAACCATGCCTTCCTCCAACTAACTCATTGATGTTGGTTGCTTGCTCACGATGCATCAGCCACCAGTGCTAAAATAGGCAACTTCCAGGTTATCAAGTTGCTACTGATATCACATCTTGTTTGCTGCACATGTGCAAAGAGGTGACAATGGCGGCAACCTAAAAACCCAGAAGTCGGCTATTTTAATGTAGTAAATGGGGTCCACCCACAACCATGTTATAACGGAATTCATGCTACACTTTACAGAAAAACTGTAATTCTATGTCTGTATCAATATATCTGGAACTGCACTAAGTGCTAAGTGCTCCGAGACACCATCCGGGATGAAGGGCACTATATAACTGCAAGTTGTTGTTGTAATAGCAGTCTAATTTCAAAACCAGTGTGACTGGAGCCATTGTTAATATATCCTGTGAATAGGAGGAATTATGATCCCTATGTTATCTGTTCTGACCAGATTCAGAACACTGAGACCTGCTCCCATGCCCCTTCTCCAGAATTGCAGTTGTGAAACAATAAAATGGATGTGGAACCAATTCAAGACAAACAATAACATGATATTTTAACCTTTGACCAAACAAGAAATTTAAAAAAACCCAACATGAATTGCCAGAGGAATGAAAAAATGCACATGATATCCTTCAGTATGCAATCTGTTGTCGGGTGAAGAAGCTGGCACATGTTTCAGTAACACAGATTAAATCTTGAACCTACAGCAGTTTTAAAGGTCATTGGGGTCAGAAATTATGTGTGCTGTGCAATAATAGGGCACAGGGAATCGTGCATGGGAATCAAAATTAGTTAGATGAGTGCATGTATGGTCTGTCTTAAGATTCCACAATGTTCGTGTTTGTTTCTGTTGGACCCACATTTGTGTACTCCAAGTGCAATCAATAGGAAGGCAGCCTCAGAATCACTGATAGTAGTCAAATAATTAGAATTTTTAACAAATTGGGAACACATTTTCAATGTACAGGAAAACAGCAAAAACTGCAGCAAGTGGAAGGGGAAACTATATGTGAAGTCCTGTAGCTCAGTGGTTAGAGCACTCACCTCGCAAGCAAGAGACCTGGGTTCAATTCCTGGCAGGGTGAAACCTTGGGTAAGTTTCCTTACTCCACATGTCTGATAATAATCCCTCAAGAAAAAAGACAATAAATTGGTCACTTCAATCTACGACTGTTTGCGGGACACTGCTGTGCGCAATTGGTTGCCGTGTTTCACCCACAAATGTACAGTCAATTCACTTTGCAATATATTCTTTGAAGCGCTTTGAAACGTCTGGAAGACATAAAAAAGGCTATATCAAGTGCAATGATTATTATTATTTTTATTATATGAGAGAAGGGGAGGTAAATGTGAGAGGGGGCAAAGGGAGTCCCTGGGATTGAAACGGCCCGAGGAGAAATGCCAGGTAGTCAGGTCAATCAGCATTAATCCACCATATAATAGTTGTCCTGGCTTTGTCTAAACATAGCCATGAGTGCCATCCCCTCGCCTCTGTCTCCCTAGACCCCACCATGCCTGCGGGCTGACAATGCCCCGCTGTTCGCTCTGCTCCCAATCTTGGCATACATGTTTGGCTGTCACCCCTGACCAAAGCCACTTCCTCGTTGACGGTTATCCTAGAGCAGCCACCCTGACTGCCACATCACCCCGTTATATAGTGCCCTCCATGCAGGGTAGAGTCTCAGAGTGGCGGAGCCTGACTCCAAGCTGGGGGAGAGGTGGCCATAAGCATGGTCGAAGAGAAAGGTTTTCAGGGGTACTTGAAAAAGAGGATAGAGGGCACAAGGCGTAGGGATTGAGGGAAAGTGTTCCAGAGTGTCAGTATGTAGTGGCTGAAAGCGCAACCTCTGATGGCGGAGCGGAGAGTATGAGGGATGAGCAGGAGGCCAGTACCAGTTTGCTGCATTTGGGGTAAGGTATGGTCAGAGACGGGCAATGTGGCTGAGGTACAAGAAGCCGGTCCTGGTCAGGGACTGGATGCAGGGTAGGAAGGACAGATGGGGGTCGAACTGAATGCCTAGATTACGCACTGATTTGGTGAGTCTGAGGGAGAGCCTAGGGAGGTTGAGGAGTTCACATTCGCAGGAGTGAAGACGTCGATGGGAGCCAAGGAATATGGCTTCCGTCTTGATCACATGCAACTGCAGGAAGTTTGCACTCATTCAGGACCTGGAGTCGATACTAGAGGAAGCAAATGTGTGTCATTCACATACATGTAGAAGTTTACCAGTGTCTGTGGATTACATCGCCAAGAGGGATCACATAGATGAGGAAAAGAAGAGGGCCAACGATGGAGCCTTGGGGTACCCCGCAGATGACCGGACGGCGGGGGAAGAAGAGAAACCATTTACTGAGATGAAATGGAGGCAGTTGGTTAAGTAGGAGTCAAACCATATGAGTGCAGTCCCACTAAGGTGGATAAGGAAAGAGAGGCGATGGAGGAAGGCGTGGTCAACTGTGTCGAACATGGCAAAGAGATCCAGGTGAACAAGGAGGCAGAGGGAGT